TGTTCTGCTTCTCATCACCCCTTGTGAGTTTTTTTAAACAAGTTGATCTGCAGCCTGGAACTAAAGAACAAATCACTTCATCCTCACCAGACTTTTTGTGCGACTGTGAACACGCACACAATGAGTTATAAGACAGGTGGAAAACCCTCCAAGCCACAAAGACCGACGATGTGTTTCTCAACAGCCTCAGCTGGCTGTGGTTTAAAGGAGCGCTGCTTAAGAAAACAGCATTTGTTTAAAACGGAGAGAAACGGAGCGATCGCCAATCTACGCTAAATGGCATTGGAGTGAAAAGCACAGGAGAATGGGCCAAATCCAAGTCACTCCACATTAACAGGCAGTGGGCTGATGACATAATATGCATGGCAACAAATAAATAGCCCACAATTCATCTTTCACTACAGTGAGAGTACAGCGAGTACTTCTTATCGTGCAAGGGTCACGCAGATATTGTGCAAAGCTCAAGGAGGGAATGCAGGTATGGACACAGACAGGCTGAGAGGTAGACAGAGAGACAGACAGATGCGAAGATGGCCATCGCCACAGACAGCGAGACAGTGAGACTTTTAGAATAAACACCAGAGCTCTCAGTGTCGCCCAGGAAGAAATTCTTTTCTTTGATGTCAAGCCATGTGACCTTGCAGCAGTCTGAGGAATTGAAGCACCGTCCAAACAAACGTCAACACCACTAACACCCTCAAGGTCAATGTGTGTCTGTGTGTGTGTGTGTGTGTGTGTGTTTATCGGGCTGTTGGCATGTGCACACGTATGTGCGTATGTGCATGTAGAATTGTGCAACCAAAACTTTTGAGTCTGATTTTTGAGTTACACAAATTTTCAGGACCATTACTGTAAAATATTTTTTTCTGCAAATGCGAAGCTGGTTCTTAAAACACTGTGTTGCTGCACTGACCCTTAAAGCAGACACAATTTAATGAGAGAATATTTTGAGATATAATTAAAAATCTGCTGTAAATATCAAAATATTGAGGATGTCAAGTTTTCCCTCAACATTCCAACAATGTTATTAGAGCAAAGTTGAATTGGTGCCGTTTAAGATACAAGATCTTTACAAATAAAATAAAAAAAGATTCCCTTTAAAGGTTCAGCCTGTAGAAATGGGTGATATCTAGTGGTGAAGCTGCAGCTGAATACCCCTCACCTCACCCTCCCCTTCAGAATTTGAAAGAGATTCTATGGCAGCCTTGCATACACACTCATAAATATCAGTCCCCTTAAAATGTCTGATGACATGAACTATTTTCTGAGTAATCAATGAATATGTTGACAAAGACCCTATCTGACAATGTTAAAAAAAGAGATCCAGGATCTGCCCCATGAACAATAAACATACATAACAACAAACAAACGGACAGGGGTGAAAACATAACCTCCACAGCAGAGGTAATAAATACAGATATTTAATTTGATCATAATTTTAACCTATAACCATCTGCAAAAATCCCAATAAAATTTATTTTTCCTTTTATTAAACAAAGCAAAAAAACTATTCAATGATATATTTTGCACACAAGTCCACAGATCTCTCCTGCACCGACATCTTGTGGCAGCAGAGGCAGTTTGCCAGTAGTTGTCTTCACGTCAGGCTTTATTTAAGATGATCACAAGTTGTTTACAGTGCCGAGGATGGATTATTATCTTACACAAGCAAGTTCCAAAGAGCAACTCAAAGCCTCATCAAAGTTTCAGTGAAAATGCCACTTCATATTGTTTACCCCCTTACTTTCATCAATGCAGTACACACATGCCAGGGCTCGTTTTCAGATTTGGCTCATCACTACTGAGCGACCACAGAGACAACACTGCTACACTTTGAATACGCTCCTCTCACCGCCGGTAAACAGTGGTGTCCCGTTGCAGTAGTTTATTTAGGAGTCTGTTCTAGCCCAAACAGGACTTATGACAAAGCCAACTGCTCCCTCTTTTAGACCACTAAGTACTTTCTACTGCTGAATGCTGGTAGGCTGCTGAGGCACGAGGACAGCTGTTTGTGTGCATGGGACAGAGAAATGAGAAGAAGGAGAGAGACGATGCGAGAAAGAGACAGAGAGGAGTAGGAAGAACATGGGAAGCAGCGAGTACAACAGTGCTCAGAGAAAAACCGTCATCACGGCAGCTCACACACAGCGACGAGTGAGCAGCACTTGAGATCTGTCGGATAAAACTTTGGCTTGAGCTACTGAGTGAAACGTTATAATGTATTTGCAGCTTGAAACTCAGAACAAGCTTGACAACGGCACACATTCACTGGCTTAAATAATTACATGAATAAGTGTAGAAGAGAAAAGCAAACACAGCTACTTGACAAGCATGACTTGAAAAAGTATGTGTAGGGGTTAAAAAAAGTTTTCCATACTTTTAACTTGAATGTCTGCTGATTGTTCATGTGACAGGTGGAAGAAAACTGTAAGTGTGGTGCCCCCTTAGGGACAAATAACCGGCACCCCCCAGCCATTACTGTCGATCCACAAAGAGCAGATGGAGATTTATGGATGTTTTCATATCATGCTATATTGTAATTTAATTGTTTTTTTCGAATATGAGTATCATGATCTGCCATGTCATATACTTTTATTTACTGATCATCTTTACTCCTCTTGCACAGGAAACCTTTAGGCCTCAGTGGGTAATGTTCCTTGAAGCTAAGTAGCCTCAAAAATGCTAATCTGCTTCAACCACTGGAAACATCTGTCATGACAAAGCCAAAACCTGCAATGGAAACCCACCTATTACATGACGTCTCTGATGAGAAATAAAAGCAACAAAAGCATTTAACCACTGAAGAGAATATTCATTAACAATCTGGTCGGTATCTACAACAAATGCACAACAGAAGTCCTCAGAGTGAGACGTAATGGAAAAGCACTAGGAAGCTTCTTTTTTATTCAAGAGTTCATGACCTCGTCAATACTTCCCTCTTCACACACTCTCACGCACGGCCTCTCCACTCCACAGTGTGTACCTCAGGGTAGAGCCCCATCATGTTGAAAGATGCTGTTGCCACCACACCTGTGTGTGCACATGGGTTCACATGTGCATTTCCTGATGTGTGTGTGTGTGTGTGTGTGTGTGTGTGTGTGTGTGTTTGTTGGTTTGCCGGGGTGTATGCGTGTACGTGAAAACACCCTCTCATGTTACAGCAGTAATGGCCCTGCTGAAACATTCGTCTCCCACTCAAAAGTTCCAGACTGCTATTAAACACACACACACACGCTGCACACTGGTGACTCTACTGAGGGTGGGTCACCTCCATTAAGAGCAGTTCATATACACACTAAAATAAGTTTAATGGAAACGAGTAGATCACTAAATAATTCTGTAATACATTAGACAGAATTTGAGGAATTACACTAGGCAGTATAGAGCTCCCTCAGAAAATGAGAAATAGATAGCACTATAATGGGGTGATACAATAACTAGTTATTCATTTTCTGATTTAAAACTGTAAATAAAGAGGAAATTATGATACAAAATAATAATACTATTAGAGGCCTGTTGAACAACAAGTTATAGTATAAAAACAAAGAAATTCACAACTTGACTTACTCTGTCAATCTGGGCACAGAGTAAATGCAGACTATTACAAAAATGTTGATCAATTCTTAGTGAGAACCATCTGCTCAACATATTCCAAACTGCTGGCTGACGTGTGGTCCTCATTAGAAACATCCGTATGCAAATGTGCATCTAACAGCACCTGCCTCCCCCGACTGAATGGCCCAGTGTCCTCTGAGAAACACACATGCACTGGTGGGGAACGTGCTTGTGCAGATGTCAGCTGTGCCATGAACAGCTTCTCGATGAACTCAGAAGAGTCTCGCTCTCTTCTACTCTGTCCTCACTTTATAAGAGAATTGAGTTGGGGGCAGTGCTTTGTATTGCAGTTACAAAAAGGCTAATGATAACAACAGATTAGTAAATCAGCTGAGGGACTGGATATTTGGTTTAGCAAAGTATTGGTGTATTTGTACATGTCTGTGCTTTGAGAGGACAGACTGTAGTAGGTTGCTTACAAAGCACATCATTATGCATCACAGATTAGCTCGAATGCTGAATAGCCCTGGTTGAGCTCATGGTGCTTTTATATGTCACATACCTCTTTAGTTGTTGTAGTTGTCTAGCCAGTTGGCTATAAAATGCTCCCAGATACTAATAAATTTCCTCTTGGAGGTTAAATCACTTGAGCTGGAGCAGGCTTAGGTTACAGATTGTTGCCCCCCAGGAAACATTTATATTTGCAAGCAAGCATTGCTCACAATTCACTGGTTCTATTGCCAGATTTGTATAAGATGTAAACAGATGGAAAGATTGTGAATAATTTTATATACAATATTACTCTCACTGTGTTTGTGCAGAGCCACCGCTCAGGGATACTAGATTCGGTTCATATCATACACAGTCTTTACAGCTCAGGATTTTGACTCCCCTCACTGCCATCCTCCTCCTTCCGGGATAAAGCTGCACTTTGAGAGCTATTTTACTTTGGACGGCTCCAAAATCATGTAACTGCAGAAAAACTCATGAGGCGGACTCAGCGTTTGACTTTTCACTAATGAGGGTCTTTCAGTTTGTACAACGTCAATAATGCACTTCACAGATCATCCTCCATTACTTAACCATGTATTCTACATGATCCATATGATTCAATGTTATTAATGTTTGTGTGCAAAGGTCCAACTTCAATAGTTCTGGTCCATTATTTATAGTTAATATATAAACAGAATGTGACACAGCAGGTTGACACAACAAAGTTTACTTGGCCGTTACAGTTTGTAATGATGGTTGGAGATTGTAAAGAAAATAAATTAATAAAAAGAAAAGTGATTCACATGTATGCACTCAAACATATATATATATATATATATATATATATATATATATATCTGACACAACATTTTAAAGTATACACATAAATTACATTATCAAAAGATAAGTATCTCTGATTGTTTTTTATTTAAATATTGAATGATTGTTCTTACCTGTAAATTGGAGTTGCTGATGTATGTGGAGTTTTTTTAAATGGGACTGGTCACACAGCTCTACAATACCCACAGGCACACACACAAAGACAAACACAAGAAAAAGGGTTGAGTAAATACAGATAATCAGAATATGTTCTCTGTAAAAGAGAGTGGCATCCACTTATGCTGGTTAAATAAAAAAATATGTACAAACATGAACCAGCTGTCCCCCTGAAGGGAGGCTTCTTTCCTTTATTACCTCGTACATTTGTAATATTTTTTTAATTACCAAAGAAAGAATGAGTCAGTGTGGTACCCAAGTGCATCAAATGCTACAGGTTTCTTCAAAAAATAGAAACAAATAAAGTCCTAAAATCAGTTTTTTTCCATTGACATGTTTTTTTAAATTATATTTGAGGCAACAAATTACATCAAGTCATACAAAAGATTATGCTACTAAAAACTGAACTTGTTTGCTATGCTGCAGACACCATGGATTGTATGCCAAGGATTGCACACCTTATTAGATCTTGTCATTGGAGGGTCAGGTTGTACAGATCCCCACCTGTAGAGTTGGAAAATTAAACTCAAATAAAAATTCTCTGTATAAACATGACACTCTGGGCGGGTCCATTTCTTCATCTCTAAGAAAACACAGCCTCCAAAACACTGTAACTCACACTGGATTCATTTCACACAGCATTTCTTTTTATTGCCACCCTATAAACCACTCCAGCCTTATGCATGTGTTAGTGTTAGTGTGTGTGTGTGTGTGTCTGTCTGTGGTCTTTTCTACATGTATTATCCCCCATAGTCAGCGCCACCAATAGACAAAGAGGTCAATTCATATCGGGTGTTAAAAAGGCCAGATTGTCCATAAATCAAAGCTCTACAAACTTTAATACATCTCTCAAACCACAACCAGTGGAAAAAGGAATTAAAAGTATTGCATTTACTCAAATAAAGGTGCCATTCAGCTCCTGACAAAGAAAATGACATGCAATTTGGTAATTGCTGGATAATGCTTCTTTTAGCTCACACACAGCTCCAGTAAAACACAGCCCTCAGGACCAAAGCTCCCCATGCTTTTATAGTCATGACAGGACACAAGCCTTATCCATTTTATAATGAAATGTACACTGAGACGTGCCTTTAAAAATATCACACTTTTAGAAAAATAAAACAGGTTTGTTTAGATAGAGGGTAATAAATGAGAGTCATTGTTGTTGCACAGAAATATATAAACCAGGCCTGGGCTTGCATTCAGGAAGAAAGGAAGATACACAGAATGCTCGTCTTTTCGGCGACTGCTCTACAGAGATGATTTGAAACAGGATGACCTGAACTGACTCTCATTATCAACTTAGGGTAAAAGTTAAAATCAGTTTGAAGATGATAAAAACTGTAGTTGATGTTTGAAGATGCTCGACCACTGAAACTGAGGCTCCAGTCTCATGGATAAGTGCACGTCAGTGTTTGTTTATGCCAAATGCTCCCAAACAAAATAATCCTATCGGACCTAACCTCAAATGTGATGGGGCAAATTAACACATACATAACAAGTATACTCTAACAGATAACAGCATTTATAGCAATTGACATACATGTTGTAGATGTATGCCTACGCCAACCAGTGCAGCTTCTGTTTAAAACATTTTTTCATGTATTTATATGAGGTCACCATGGCCTTTGACCACTGAAATCTAATCAGCTTATCTTTGAGATCAAGTGACAACTGGTTGAAATTTCTGAAATTACCAAAAGACTTGAGCTTTCATGTTGAAGAGGCCAAACATGAGGCTGATACGATGTTGACCGTTGACCACTCCAACCTAATGAGTTATTCCATGAGTGTTTGTGCCAGTAATGATATTTCCTATGGGGGTTCCAGAAGTATCACGTTCACAAACATGAAGTCACTGTCACCTTGACATTTGACTTTCGACCACCAAAGTCTTGCATTCACAAGACCAAAGACATGTTTTGAAAGGGAGCAGTGACCTTGAACTTTGACCCCAAAACAAATCTAATCAATTCATCCATGAGTCTAAGTGAGGGATTGAAAGATTGGGAATATTCCTGACACACATCATTCATAAGACAAATTTTGTGTTTTTAAAGATCAAAGTGAGCTTGACCAAGCACCATTTTTGAACACCAAAAATGTTTGTACCAATTTTAAAGAAATTCACTCAAGGCATTCCAGAAATATCATGTTCACAAGAATGGACTGGAGGCACAACCCAAAAACATATTTTCTTCCGGCCACTGGCTGTCACTGGCTTGGAGACATAAAAACATGATGTTTACAGTGTGCATTACTTCTGTCAACTCATCAGAGAGCCAATAACCAGTTGTTTTACCAACTGAAATGGCTTCAATCTACCTAAGTTAGTATACAGTCCGGCCATCAGGTATCAAAAGCAGGCGTGTTGTGGTGAGAGCCAGGCAGTGTGCCAGACAGTTGGTTGTTTCTACAAAGGATCAGTGAGGTGGATTACTGCGTAAATCCCTTCTTTCACCGAGTTCCTGCAAACTGTCATTTCGCTTTCTGCCTCACAATAGCCAATGAAAACAGTGACAGGTAGGATGACTGGAGAAAAGAAGCAGCCTGAGGTGTAAACACACGAACAAGCAGCTAGACACAGAAACATTTTTCTGTCCTTTATTTGCATGTGTTTATTCTTATCTACGTGGAAGCTTAAACAGATGAGTGTTTAGAGAGCACAGATGTGAAAGTCGTGGATTTTGATGACTGATCGTATCATCAGCTCGTTCTCTTTGGCAGTCACACAAATCCACAAGACAAACAAGTGTGTTTATGGTTACACAAACACATCCAGACACAGATTAACACTCATACGTACACATACATTTTGTTTGAGTTTGCACTATAAGACAAGCAGTATAATCTAAAGTCAATTATCAAATATAAATCTCAATATTGTCTTGTTTTTTTTCGCTTATTGAAACTCAGATAACATGACTACTTCAAGGACTTCATGTTTAGATCAATTTCTGTCATTTAATTTCATTCTTTGTCCTAATTTTTTCTGTGCTGTTCAGCACTGACCTTGAGTCAGTGCTCATGGCTAAAAATCTGTAAATTGTCTATAATCCACCTATTTTCAGTGGTTCTGGTATTTTGGGTAATTTATGTTTTCTGGGCAACAGCACCACACCCACTCTACATAATTCTTCAGCTTCAGAGCTACAAAGACTCTCTGCTCATGTTTGGGTGGAGAGTAATCTAATTCTCCCACTGAAATAAATTGTATATACGGTGGAAAAAACCCTCTGCAGAATAAACTCTTTCACGTGCTCTCCCGTTCTGAGTCGCTGTATTTACAACACTGTGATCAACAACTGTCCAACATTAAATTTGTCATGAAGTACATTCTGATCTCAGACCCATCTATGAGCCGACATACCACCCACCCTCCACCATCTGCACAGCTATCCTATAAAACAGTGGTGCCATAGACGTTTTAGCAAATCCTAGAAAACCATTAAAAAGAAAACACATGATCAAATTCATGTGAGTCTGTAAATAGCCAAATGTCTGAACAGAAGATTTATTCATACTTATGGGTAATGTGGCAATCACTCAGCAAGCCTGGCCTTTTACCCTGCACTAACACATTACTGCTCTGAGGCACTTCTGTTAGCTGCTCCCTCTCTCTCTCTCTCTCTCACTCACACACACACACACACACACAGACCAGAAAATATATTAAAACCTGTATGTCTGCCTGGCACTATGCCTTATGCCCAGTGTCCAGGCATTCTAATACGAAACCCGTGTAGCCTATGTTTGTGACAAAAACACAGCCTTGATTCAGACCTCAATAAAACCAGACTCACGCAAAGATCATAGAACAAACCGGCACCATCTCTTTATCTCTTTACCTCTGCCAAGGAGGTTACATTTACGTCTCTGTTTATTTGTCTGTTAGTTAGTAGAATTATGTTAAATCTACATGATGGATTGCCATAAAACTTGTGATATGGGTCAGGAAAGTACCCCTGAAAGTTTGGTATGGATCTTGATCAGAGCTGACTTTCTATAAAATGGAGAGATTTTCTTTGGTTTCTCTCGGAATAATTCATGGATCTTGATGAAAGAAAATCTGGCATGTTAAGGGGACTGATATTTATGTCAATTGGCGCAATTTGGTGCTGATGCAAATAAAAATCCAGATCTGGGGACTGTTGGGCCTTGGCAGAGTTTCTCTTCATCTTTACCACCTCTTTCCCTGTGTCTCTACAGCACACATTCACATGCAGGAATTAAATTTAATTGATGACTGCTTGATTGTTGTATTCTCCCTCCACGGTTTTATACAACAACATTAATTGTTATTCTTGTTGAAAGGGGAATGTGTTGAAGGAGACCCTGAGAGAGAGAGAGATATTGAACAGAGAGGAGGAGGAGGGAGCGCAGTGAGGCAGAGACTGACACTATAATCATCTGTAACAAGGAGCGCAGTATGTTTTCTCCACCAAGAAAACACATCTCACACAAGGACAGGCTTCATTTAACTTGCATGTCAAATTAAAATTTCATCGTGTTTGCACGCACACACGCACACACTCATTTTAATTCACATTTCAAAGGGTTATGCAAAGTGCAATACCATGTCAAAGATATATTATTTTTATTCTTCGATGAAAAATATTCTTAGGGCCTTTTTACCAGACAACGACACTGTCAATGCTAGCACAACAAGATGGGAAGCTTTATTCCCTGAGGTTAACTCCTGCCAACTCCAATGAAATCCAGACAAACATACTGTATCTTGCACGTAGCCTGACCTCAGCTGAACTTTTCCCCTTTACACAAAGCTGACACTGTTCACAGAACAAACGAAGGATGAAATCTCTGAAAAAGAAACTTTTTAAAATGCAACTCTTGGATTGAATGCCTGTCTTAACATTTGGTCCAACACTTCTCCTACATCCTGTCTGTCCAGATGTTTCCTCTGAAAATGTCCAAATTTATTTTGCTACGTGATGACAGCGAGCAGAGGGACTCACAGAAAGTACATCCCCTCAGTCAAACTGGAGGCGTCCGCAGA